GACAAACATCTACCAGTTCGCCAGCACCTCGCCGCTAGTATGAGCGCCGGGCATCAGAAAAAGGTTAATAGAACGCGGGGGAGGTGAACAGAGGGGAGGTGCAGGAGGGGAGGAGAGGAATGGGAGGAGAGGAGGGCAGGAGAAGGAGGGGAGGAGAAGGCAACAAGAATGAAGAGATAAGAGGAGGTGGAAAAGTCAGTCAAAGAATGAAGAGGAAGCAGAACAGAAGGCCGAGATAAAGAAAGGAGAGGAGAAGGCGAATTGCGAGGAAAAACTTACGGTAAACCCTCCGACAGCGCAGAGTCGGAGACCTCTGTTCGTTGGGAGCACAACCATCTTGTGAAGAGCTCGTGGAAGGAGTAGGGGGCTCACTTGCGACCACTCGTCTCCCTGAGGATCATACTTCTCTACCACCTTCAAGTACTCCTCCTCCTCCTCCTCCTCCTTCCCCTTTCCCGCTTCACCGCTTCCTTCCTCCTGCTCGCCGTCGTCTTCTCGCTTCATACTCGCAGCCTGCTTCACCCCCGCTCTCCATCCCTTCCCTCCCGAAACGTAGATCATCCCGTCCCACACGGCCGCCGCGCACATGGCGCGAGGATGTAGCATGGGGGCGACGAGGTCCCAGCGATGGGCTACAGGATCCCAACGCTCGCAGACTGACGACACCTGGCATGTGCTGTCAGGACAGGACAGGACAGGACAGGACAGGACAGGACAGGACAGGACAGAACAGGACAGGACAAGAAAGATGAGAGAAGGGCAGAGGAAACAAGTACAGGGCAGAGCAAGACAAGTTGGGGCAGGAAGGCAAGGCAGAGCAAGGCAGGGTAGGATGGGACGGACGGGAAAGGACAGCAGGGCATGGCAGGACAGAAAGTAGGAGGAAAGGGGTTAATAGAGGTAGAGGAGAGGAGAGGACAGGAGAGGACAGGAGAGGGGAGGAAAGAGCCAAAACGCTTCTCACAGTTCCATTCTCATCGTATCCTCCCATAGCAAAAATGTAGCCGTCGATAGCGACTACCGCCATGGAAGCACGAGGGTGCAGGAGGGATGATACCTCTACCCAGCAGTTCTGAGAAGCATCGTACCTGTAGGATCACGGCAGAGTCAAGATTGCAAGGGAGGAGAACAGGGAGAGGAATTATGTGGAGAAAGAAGGAGGGATGGGGAAGAATGTAATGCAAGGAGGAAGGGGGAGAAGGGGGAGACTTTACGGGGAGAGGTGGAAGGAACGAGCGATGGAAAGAGGGGAGGGAGAGAGAGGGGGGAGGGGAGAGAAAGGAGGACCTTTCTACAGAAGCGACCATTCTTTCCTTATGATCAAACCCTCCAAGTCCCAGCAGATGCCCGTCGGAGACAACTGAGCGGCGGGAGAGGATGAAAGGAAAGAGGTAACAACAAGTTTGGGGTTCGGCGATGATAACAAAGAGAAAAAGACGGGGGAAAGGAAGGAGAGAGAAGTAGAGGAGAAGGATAAGACAGAACATATCAGAGGTGAAGGAAAAACGTCAGAATCGAGTCATTCTCTCCCGCCCCCGTCCCCCACTCCGCCCCGCCCTCTCCCCTTCCCCTTTCGTTCTCCTTCTACACCCTCGTTTCTTCCTGCTGTCCTCTCCTGCCTCCTCTCTAATCTCTTCCTCTCTCTTCCCTCCTCTCCTGCCCTCTCCCTCTCCCTCTCCCTCTCCCTCTTCCTCTCTCTTCCTCTCATCCTTTCCTCCTCTCCTCCTCTCCCCTCTCCTCTTCTCTTCTCCTCTCCTCCTCCTCCTCTCTCACCGATAGAGAAGCAGTCTCTCGCGTTGTACATTCTGCCAAGTCGTGTCCACTCGTCTGTCCGCGGGTTGTGCCACTCGATAGAGCTCAAGGTGTCCTGATGTGAAAATTTTTACAAACATGCAGAGATGAAGAACCAGAGAAGAAGGAGCAAGTGTAGGGAACAGGAGAGTATGATGATGCCAGGAAAGATGGAGATGACGATGTCTCCCAGGATGAGGAAGAGGAGGAGGAGGAGGAAGAGGAGGACGAGGAGGAGGAGGTGGTGGTGGTGGTGGAGGAGGAGGTGGGTCAGGATCAGGATGTGGTAATTATGTGATGGTGAATGGTATTACCATCTCTTCATCGCATCCTCCTGCTACGACGCACCTGCCCTGGTATGTACAACAAGCACACAATGCTCGGATCTGATTGGCATTCCAGTCAGCGCACAAATAATTCCAGTACAGACAGGGAGTAAGCAAAGATGGTAACAAGTGGATGCGGAGTCACATAGGACGAGGAGGGACGAAGAGAGAAGCTGATTTGAGCTGAGGCAGTGAGAGAGAGTGAAGGAGGACGAAGGGGAAGGAAAGAAGTGAAGGAAGAAGAGAGAGCGAGGAAGTGAGAGAAGGGCGGAGGAGGAGAAACGGACGAGAAAAGCGAATGTGAGGAAGAATGAGGAGTAGGTAAGGGAGAGGAGATAGGAGAGCATTGAGATTAGCTGAAAACATGAGAGAGTTTCTGCAGCAAAGAGAGCGAAGGACAGGTGGTGGGGGAGGAGAGAATAAAGACGAGGAGGTGGAGGAAGAGGAAGAGGAAGAGGAAGAGGAAGAGGAAGAGGAAGAGAAAGAGGAAGAGGAAGAGGAAGAGGAAGAGGAAGAGGAAGAGGAAAAGGAAGAGGAAGAGGAGGAAGAGGATGAAGAAGAACAAAACTTTGCCTTGAGCAACGGGGCAAGTGACTCCCATCGCTGGAGAGCTTTGTCGTATCTCCAAGTCTGATTGGTGACGTAATGCTTCTGAGTAGACTCGTTGTAGACAATTCTAAATAAAGAAGGATCAGCAGGAAGGGCAACTTTCATCGTAACCATCCCTATGATGATGACTATCCCGTTAATTATCTTGTGCTCCTGCTCCTGCTCCTGCTCCTGCTCCTGCTCCTGCTCCTGCTCCTCTTCTTCTCCACTTGCTCTCTCCTTTTCTCCTCCTCCTCCTCCTCCTCCTCCTCCTCCTCAATTTCTTCTCACCCTCCAACCATGTAAAGATATCTCCCAGACGCCTGCGTCATTTCAGGAATTGCCACCACCATGCTGGACTTCACCGGGGCAGGAAGAAAGCTCATCTCACTCGAGACGGCGCGCGAGAGGGGCCGGTGAGTTTGAGTGCGACTCTGCGACTTGTGAGGGAGAGA